AAGAAAGAGGGAATATTCTAGGTTTTCTGCTCCTATAAATAGCAGTCCCCTAGACCCTCTAAATACACCTCAGAGAGCAGAAACACGAGATAGAGAGTGAGTTCATAGAGCTCCGGTTTTCGCACAAAACCGATGAGCAACAAAACAAGAATGGCTGTTTTATCCTGGAGGCGACCGGCTGATAGTCTGCCGTGCGCAACGAAGGCAGTGCCGCGAACGTCTTAAAGAGAGCGATCTAGTCCGCGACTCAGCCAGATCGGTAACACTGATTTTTTCTGTTCGATTTCTAACAATTTTAAGACGTTCGGTTGCTGTCATGTTTACCCAACAGATTCAATCGATTGAGTTACCGCATCTGGCTTCCTCCGCCACAACTCGTGAGAACCACTCTGCTACCACGACCCCATGGTCATCCACCAGTAGACTCAACTGCTCCGAGTTCACAGGAAGTCGATCACTCTACTTAGCCTTTTGGCCTAAGAGAGCTATAATCTTTCAATTATTTAATTCTTACTCCCCTGCACCTTTTGTTGTTCGTTCCCTTTCTAAGTAATCAAATATATTGTTTGGGGCGATTGGGAGATTAATCGCTAGGGAGAGAAAGAGGTGCAGGTATTTGTAAAGACGACGAAAGGGTTTTTTTTTTGTCCCTAGCTGATGCTCGGTCGCTGAGTAACCATCTCAAGCCCGCATCATCCTGGGCCTTCCTTCGTGGGCTGCACACTATGCGGACAAGGCTCCGAGAAGTTCAACTCCGATTAATTTCCAGAAGGAACAAGACTTCCGACGGGAATTAACTTTGATGATGACGGTATCATAATTCTTGTGGTTGTTATTATTATTCTAATAAACAGGTCGTCGGAGGAAAGAATTGGAGCGCCACTGTGAAGAGATCGATTCATGGACATCGGTCATGTGCTCCTTGATTCCGTCATGGGCGAAGTAAATGGACAAAATGTCCTGGTCCATTTAATTGCTATTGTCTAAATTCCACCAGCAAAGTGGATCACATCGGGTCCATAATGGAACTCTGCTGACCCAAGTATATTCCAGGTCCAAGTCTTCGAACTTGGCTCTTTCTGGCCCCAGTGGAATCATACAGGCCAGAGGCTTGGACAGTTTGGATTCCACAGGTCAGTGGATATGATACAGATCCACTTTTGGAAATCAAGCTAATATATGGTGATTATTGGTGTTCATGTGCATCGGGAGTGGGAAGCCATACTCGAACAACAGACTATTAATTGGAAGCTAAGCCACAAGCTAGCTACTTATTGCAAATTCAGAAAGCAATGGTTTCTCGAAAAGAAGGTTAGAATCTTAACCTTATTCGTGAGTCATATTAATGAAAATTAGAATTTATTCCTAACAGTCTTATGCATGGAATTGAGATGATGATCAGAGTACAATTTGAGTGTACATGTTGTGAAATAGAGTAATTTTGATGATATGAATGCATACTCTGAAGCATATATGAATGTATATTCAGTAGTAATTATGCTAGTGGAATGGGTTATATGGCCATATTTATTAGAAGTACTGTTTGTCAGTACTATGAGAACCATTTGTACGTTTCCAAACTCTAATAAGGTTCAAGAATCAGCATAGCAAATCGAATCAGATCCACACCAATTAAAATGGTACCATTCGTGGTAACTAAAGGATCATCGGCCAATCCTCTAAGAATGACGCTTTATTTCTCTGCAATAGTTGCAAGAAATTAGGTCATATGACACGAAAGTGTAGGAACAAGTATAACACTGGTTCTAGTGTTAACTTGATCGAAGAGAAGAATTGGTGGATGTGATGATTGACAAAAGAGTAGAGATTAACCATGCTGGTAACTCTGAAGAATGGTGGTTGAATACTGGTATCTGAAAGCATACAAAGACATATGAAAGTGTTGTTGAGTATTGCTCACTCCACTATTGATCATGGTCACGAGAGTATGCATATGGTGATAAAGTTAAAGTGTTGAATTCTTAAGGGTCTTGCATGCACGTCTTTGACGTATATCTTGAGGAATTGAATAGCTAGGGTCATATTCTCATCATGGTTGTGATAAATGTGATTTCCATAGCTAAGATAAATGACACATAAATATGTGTTTAGAGAATTAGAAACTTTAGATCTGATTAAATTTTATGTGTAAACATGATGAGATGCTTACTTAAACTGGCTTGAAATGCTTTATCGCATTATAATTGATTGCCCTGGTTATTGTTGGCTGGTGTTAGAATTAAAGAATCAGTGCAATATAATTATGAGTAAGCATATGATTGTGTGTTTATTGGATATGCTATAGGAAAAACACACAGGCCTCATAACTTGAGTACTCATTATGTTGTGGAATCCATTGATGCCAATAGACTTCCATTTAAAATCAAGAAATAGTGGGGGTTGTATCCTACCTACTATTATAAATAATGGAACTAGTGGGGGTGGTGAATCTGAGTATGAAGTCAAAAGAAGCAAACGAACCATAAATCGCTAAAGGGATTTTGGTTATGAGTTTGTTATTTACACCCTAAGAAAGATCCTACAAATCTGCTAGAAGTTCAAACTTCCATAAAGGTGCAGATTTACGGGAAGAAGCCATTATTAATGAATGGAATCATGAGAGTCTTATAAGGCTTAGAAACTTGTAGAGTTACCTTTTGGTTGTAAAGCCTTCGGTAATATATCGATGAAATCGAAAAGATTTGGCATCTTTGAGAATTACCTCTTGGCAATGAAGCCAAGGTAATAAATGGATTCCTAAAAGAAAAAAAAAAGCTGAAACCTGATGGTTTAGTTTATGAGTATAATGATCGCCTGGTAGCTAAGGTTCTAGGTGAAGAGGAAAATTGTAGATTTCTTTTATATCTATTCACTAATATGTAGAATAACAACCATCATATGGATGTTAAACTTCTTTTGTGAATGGTGGCTTATATAAAGAAATCTACATAAGACAACCTAAGAAGTTGTTATTCTAGAACATGCTTCTGGAGTCTATGGTTAGACAAATCATTATATGATTTGAAATAGACTCAGAATTCGTGGCATGAATAATCAGATTCTCTCTCATGGTTTTAAAAGTGAAAGTGACAAGTGCATTTAGTACACATTTGAGAATGACACTTGCATTATGAATGACATGTCGATCTTTGGTACAAAGACTCGTGATATCAATATTGAAAAACCATGATGGTTGAGAATTTTGAATGTGAAAGGATCTGAATGAAACAAATGTTATGCTCAGAGATCCTAATAACTAGGAAAATACAAGATGTACACCTGCATAAATGTTTGATGGTGCTAGTATAATTTTTAAGAGCACCAAAGACGGTGTAAGAAAGTAAGAACATACTAGCATCGACAGTCTGCAAGAGGCAGCTGATAAACATGAGACCCGAGATAGTGGGGGTACTTGGCAGGTTTACTGATTGTCCTAGTATGAATCATTGAAATGCTATTGAAAGGGGTCATGAGACACCTTAAAAGAACAGAAAAACCTTGGTATTTGTTATCAAAGGTTTTGCTGTATTGGTAGGGTATAATGATGCGGATTAGAATACCCTATAGAGGACTCCAAGACAACAAGAGGCTGTGTTTTAAACATCGATAGAGAAGCTATGTCTTGGAAGTCTAAGAAGTAAACGATCCTGGCTCAATCAACTAAGAATCAGAAATGATAGAACTAGCAATGGCTAGTAAAGAGGAAAGTTGATTGAGAGGGTCACTACTAGAGATTCCATTATGGGAAAGACCGATCCCTCCGGTAGTTGATTAATTGTGATAGCACCGCAGCTATTGCAATAGAAGGGAACCGGTTCTAGAGCGAAAAGAGACGACAAATTCGTCGTAAGCACAGTACTGTAAGAGAACTCCTAACGATAGGAGCAATGAGGGTGGATCCTGTAAGATCCTAACAGAATCTAGCTGATCCTTTGACGAAAGGATTATCTAGAGAGAAAGTCCAAAATACCACGAAGGGTATGAGACTTATGCCTACCGAACCATGGATTACAAGTGATGGTAACCCGACCCGATAGACTGGAGATCCCAAGAAACGGGTTCAATGGGTAATAACAAGTCATGAGTAATATTGAGAAAAGTTCATGCATAGTGAAGCATGAATCCCAAAGCCTTGGAGGTTGAGTTAAAACTCTTAATGAGATCTATACTCTATGTGGAGTGAAGTACTTTACTTTGGGGGTACTTTTGATAGACTCACCTAAGTGAATGTGGGAGTGAAGCCGCTCCCTATGGAACTTTGGAGGCACAAAGTTGCTAGAGCGTTCACTAAACCGGGATAACGTGCATGGCCATAAACGCACGGCCTATGAGAGAATATCACTCAATGAAAAGATCCGGTGTGCTACATTGTCTGAGATAGGGTTCAAGACTACGAGTCACCCTTATGAAATCGGAAGTGTAACCACTACGCTAAGGTTCAAATCTTCGCGATACCTTAGCTTATGCCCGATCTTATGGAACTGTTGATGCTCAGAGATAGTTTCAAAACTATTCAAGTGGGGGATTGTTGGGAATGAATAGCTTTGAAAGCTATATTGAATTAATTATCCCGTACTCTTTCTAGATACGAAAATAAGGATAATTAATACAAAGAATATTATGGAGATAATTAGGATTAATTATCTTAATATAATATAATATATTTTAATTATGGAAGTAATTATCTTCCTAATTAAAATGTGGCTTATTCCCAAAGAAAGAGGGAATATTCTAGGTTTTCTGCTCCTATAAATAGCAGTCCCCTAGACCCTCTAAATACACCTCAGAGAGCAGAAACACGAGATAGAGAGTGAGTTCATAGAGCTCCGGTTTTCGCACAAAACCGATGAGCAACAAAACAAGAATGGCTGTTTTATCCTGGAGGCGACCGGCTGATAGTCTGCCGTGCGCAACGAAGGCAGTGCCGGGAACGTCTTAAAGAGAGCGATCTAGTCCGCAACTCAGCCAGATCGGTAACACTGATTTTTTCTGTTCGATTTCTAACACAAACTCCACAGATTCTTGAGGCCGGATAAGTTGGGCAGCTTCCTGATCGAATCGCACCTAAGCAGACGTACCCACCGCAGTGACTCCAATCTGTCGACCCCGACGAGATTCGTCAAGCTTCGGCAGTAACTGAAGTTTAGCTCCTTGAGATTGACGAGCTTGGACAGATCAGGCAGCTGTTCCCTGCCAAACCATAGTTCGTGCAAGCTCAACGCCTCCAATGCTCCTAGAAGTTGGAGTACATCAAAGTTTGTCAATCTGGGACATCTTCTGATTGTCAGACGGGATAGACACTCCCCGAGGCCGCCGCCGAGGCCGAGGCCTTGTATGTCAACGAGATTCGGACAGTCGCTAACCTCCAGATCCTCCAACTTGCCCAGATTCGCTAGGCTTGGCAGCCTCTCCAGCTTGGCGGACGACCTCAAGTTCAGGGTCCTGAGGAGGATCAGATTCTCAAGTCCGTTGAAATTGTTCAGGTTCCGGCACTCGATCCACAAAGTCTCCATAGCCCTCAGCTCTCCCAGCCCCCGAATCTCGGCCACCCCAATACCCGAAAGTTTGAGCCGGGTGAGATTGCACAGATTCGCTAGGCTGGGGAGCTCATTCAAATTAATACGAGAGGAAGAACCTTCTTCTTTCTCAGGACCCGTTTGCCAAACAGCTTCTGCACAGTTCTCAGCTCTCATGGAAGAAGAAGACTTGGCTTCCTATTTTGATAAATTGGGCCTGCAATTATTAGAAGATAACCCATACCAATAGCCCACTCGATTGGCCCACTCTTAATTGCACTGTTGAATGTCTTTCTGCTGTCTCTTCTTTCACCTGCCAACATGTACTCTATATATATACTAAGCTTGGAAGGAATGAAAGAAACACTTTTCTCTGGTCTCTTTTGCTTTTGTATCATGGTATCAGAGCTAAATTCTCTTATCTAGGGTTTCCTCATCAAACCTTCAAGTTTTTCCAGCTGCTAAGAAATGGCTAGTGATGAAGAAACAAGCCACAAAACCAGCACAAAAGAGTACTTGTTTGCAGATCCCTACTACCTTCATGGTGGTGAAAGTCCAGCTGCTCTCTTAGTTCCTGAAAGGCTGAATCAAAGCAACTATAATGAGTGGAGTAAGTACATGCTCAACTCTTTATCATCCAAGAACAAATTACATTTCATAGATGGTTCCCTTCCTATGCCTAGTCGCTCAGATCCCATGTACCAGCCATGGGTGAGCTGCAATACCATAGTACTTGGTTGGATTACATTTGTTGTGAGTGACAACATCAGAAAAAGCCTTCTGAACTTCAAGACAGCATCAGAGGCTTGGAAGAATTTAAAGAAACGCTATTCTCAAGGTGACCTCATCAAGATCTCAGAATTGCAAGAACAATTGTCTACACTCAAGCAAGGTAATCGCTCAGTTTCAGAGTACCACACTCAGCTTATGACTATTTGGAATGAGTGGCAAAACTATCAACCTCTCCCTGAGTGTGACTGTAGTGGAAAGTCGCACCCAAACTGCAAGGTGATCACTAGCATCAATCGTTATCAAGAAACCAACCTGATTATTCAGTTTCTAAGAGGACTCAATGACAACTATGCTCTTGCAAGGACACAAATCCTCATGTCTGATCCTCTACCAGACATGGACACCATATTTTATAGAGTAACACAATTGGAGAGGCAGTTACTTACTAATGTGCAGCAAAACGGCATCCAAAATTCCATGGTAATGCTTGCACCAGCTCACCTGCAGCAGAACAATAGTCAGTTTGGCAATCAAGGCAATGTTCAATGCATGAATCAATTTGGTGGGCAGCAAAGACCTTACCAAAGACCACATTTTCGATCGCCTAGAGCTCAAGGAAATTTCAGTCAAAGACCACAAGGTGGCAGGCCATTTTGCACTTATTGCAAAATGAATGGACACACTATTGATCAATGCTTCAAAAGGAACGGATGGCCACCTGGTTACACGCCTCGAGCAAACTTCAACACTAACCAGCGAGCTCATGCACATTCAGTCATTGCCAACTCTCAGAATACTCAGCCTGATTTATTACAAGCTCTGGCAGGTTTGAAACTTACCCGGGAACAGTATTCTCAGCTGCAAGCTTATGTCCAGGATACAACCTCCACTTCTCAATCCCACCAACAACAAGTTAGTAACCCCACCAATTCTGCCGCCTTCTTTTCTTCGACCAGCAACCCGTCAGGTACACAAAACCCTTCTCTTCCCTTTCCCAAACCATTCCATTCTCGTGTCCACACTTGGATTCTCGATACCGGAGCCACAAATCATATGATTTGCAATTTCTCTCTTTTTTCATCCTTTCAACCCATATCCAATGTCATGATCACTCTTCCCATAGGCATACAAGTGCCAGCTACTCACCTAGGCATAGTTCATTTTTCACCAACTTTGACCCTCTTTGATGTTTTATTTGTGCCAGATTTCACCTTTAACCTCATATCAGTCCATAAACTAACCACAACTATGCCTATATCAATTTCCTTCTTCTCTATATATTGTTATTTGCAGGACATACCTACGGGCAATGCAGTCAAAAGCGCGATTCTACCTAGAAGCGGTTGGGTGACCTAGAAGCGTAAAACCGTAAGCTTTTAAGTTTTAAAACGTAGATTTTGACTACAATTGTAAGGAAAAATCACGATTCTATGTAGAAGCGTTTTGGTGACCCAAAAAGGTAAAAGCGTAAGTTTTTAAGTTTTAAAGCGCGATTTTGACTGCATTGCCTACGGGGAAGAGCATTGGTTCGGCTGAACTCCAAGGTGGCCTCTACCAAATGAAGCAGCAATCTTTTGAAACACCTATCCATCCTACTTCTGCAGCTTTGTCCTCCCATTCACAAATTCCGAAACACTTTGACATATGGCATTTTCGTTTAGGACATCTATCTCATTCCAAAATCAGTATTTTGAGTCAAATTGATTCGTCAATTGCGACAAACCCAACACAACCTTGTGCTATATGTCATTTTGCCAAACAGAGGAAATTACCTTTTGCTTTAAGTATGTCTGTTGCTGATGCTCCTTTTTCCCTAGTGCACATTGACATTTGGGGGCCTAACCCCATTCCTTCTTATGATGGGTTCTCTTACTTTCTTACTCTTGTCGACGATTTCTCTCGTCTCACTTGGTTGATGCTCATGAAATCCAAATCTGAAACCCGCAGCCACATTGAAAGCTTTTGTGCTTATGTTGAGACCCAATTCCATACCAAAATTAGGAGAATCCGAAGCGATAATGGCCAAGAATTCAAGATGACTAGTTTCTTTGCAGCTAAGGGAATTATTCATGAAACTTCTTGTGTAGAGACCCCCCAGCAAAATAGTAGAGTCGAGCGAAAACACCAGCATATACTCTCGGTTGCTCGAGCCCTTAAGTTCCAAGCTGCTTTGCCCCTTAGTTTTTGGAGTGATTGTGTCCGCCATGCTGTCCACTTGATTAACCGGCTCCCTACTCCTATTCTGAATAATGAAACCCCATTCCAGAAACTGCACCTCACCTCACCCAACTATCAAGACCTTAAGGTCTTTGGCTGCCTTGTCTATGCTTCCACTTTACCTTCTCATCGCAACAAATTCACCTCTCGAGCTCGAGAATGTGTTTTCTTGGATTTCTCTTCCGGTACCAAAGGTTATAAACTCTATGACTTGAACTCCCATTCAACTTTTGTTTCTCGTGACATCATATTTTATGAACACATATTTCCCTTTCAATCTCTTCCCAACCCAGATGCTGACATATCCAGAAATGATTCCCTTCTCAATCCTACTTCTCATGTCCATCACGATGATTCCCAGGTTCGTTTTTCTTTTACAAACCCTACTGAACCCTTCTCTGCATCTCCTAATCTTTCCTCACCACCTTCTAATTCTCCCCATCCAGCCTCTCCTCCATCACCCATTCATCCAACCACACCACCAGATTCTTATGATGTTGACATGGATGAGGAAGAACCTTCTTCTTCTTCTCCATCCCCACTCCTTCGAAAATCCAAACGCCCAACAAGACCCCCTGCTTATCTCATCAACTATCATCGCAACTTACTTTCACTTGGAAGAACCAATACTCTTCCCCCAAGGTCTCCACCAAATCATCGAGGTAAACTTTATGATCTTCCAACTGTTCTTTCTTACTCTTCTCTTTCCCCTACCTATCACCACTTTGCCCTTTCTGTGAGTTCCTTCCATGACCCCATTTCCTTTAAAGAAGCCTCCATTCATGTCCACTGGAACGAAGCTATGCAGCGTGAGATTGCTGCCCAGGAACAGAATCAAACCTGGTCCATTGTTGATTTGCCTCCTGGCAAAATTGCTATTGGCTCAAAATGGGTTTATCGGACCAAGTTTCTTTCTGATGGTACTTTGGAACGCTTCAAAGCACGCATAGTTGCAAAGGGTTACAGCCAACAAGAAGGTTTAGATTATACAGAAACCTTTGCACCAGTTGTTAAGCTCACTTCAGTTCGCACTCTCTTGGCTGTTGCTGCTATTCGTGGATGGCATATTCACCAACTTGATGTAGACAATGCTTTCCTACATGGAGACCTCAATGAAGAGGTTTACATGCGTCTCCCTCCAGGAATGCAGATGCAATTACCTCCTTCTGATAGGCAGAAGGTATGCCGTCTCCACAAGTCCCTTTACGGGCTCAAACAGGCTTCTCGCCAATGGTTCGCCAAGCTCTCACAATCTCTCACCGACATTGGTTACCATCAATGCCTTTCAGATCATTCACTCTTCACCAAAACCACTTCTACAGCTTTCACAGCCATTCTTATCTACGTTGATGATCTTATCTTGGCTGGGGATGATTTGTCTGAAATTGCTAAGGTAAAATCTCACCTGCACTCCCTCTTCCGCATTAAAGACCTTGGAGAGTTGCGTTATTTCTTGGGGCTTGAAGTGGCTCGGAGCCCCACTGGAATCCATCTCAGTCAACGCAAATATGCTCTTGAAATCCTTCATGAAAATGGGTTCCTTGATTGCAAACCTGCTTCTACCCCAATGGAACCAAAGACTCACCTTATATCTAATGATGGCACCCCACCTACTGATGGTTCTTCTTACCGTCGTTTGATCGGCCAATTGATTTACCTCACCACAACTCGCCCCGACATAAGCTTTGCAACCCAACAGTTGAGTCAATTCCTGGACAATCCCCACCTTCGTGCTGCACATCATCTTCTTCGTTACATCAAAGCAGCACCGAGCCAAGGCCTTTTCTTCTCTGCGACTTCATCTTTTCAACTCCATGGCTTCACCGATTCAGATTGGGCGGGTTGCCCTGATAGTCGACGCTCTACATCTGGTTATTGTATCTTCCTTGGTTCCTCCTTGATCTCATGGAAGTCTAAGAAGCAATCGACCGTTGCCCGTTCGTCAGCCGAGGCGGAGTATCGCGCCATGGCATTCACGACTTGTGAGATTCAATGGCTCATCTTTCTCCTTCAAGACCTTGGTGTCGTGCACTCTGCTCCAGCTTCCTTGTATTGTGATAACCAATTTGCCCTCCACATTGCGGAGAATCCCGTATTTCACGAGCGCAACAAGCATATCGAGCTCGATTGCCATCTAATCCGTGAGAAGATCCAACAAGGTATCATCCGAACCGCATACGTCCCTTCTTCTTCCCAATTGGCGGATTTGTTCACAAAACCCCTGGGTCCTTCTTCTTTTTCTGCTCTCTGCTCCAAGCTTGGCTTGCACAATCTGTGCAGTCCAGCTTGCGGGGGAGTAATACGAGAGGAAGAACCTTCTTCTTTCTCAGGACCCGTTTGCCAAACAGCTTCTGCACAGTTCTCAGCTCTCATGGAAGAAGAAGACTTGGCTTCCTATTTTGATAAATTGGGCCTGCAATTATTAGAAGATAACCCATACCAATAGCCCACTCGATCGGCCCACTCTTAATTGCACTGTTGAATGTCTTTCTGCTGTCTCTTCTTTCACCTGCCAACATGTACTCTATATATATACTAAGCTTGGAAGGAATGAAAGAAACACTTTTCTCTGGTCTCTTTTGCTTTTGTATCACGGGGCAATCAAAGAATTCAAGACTGGTTAAAGACGCCGGCAGAGCATGCGTTGCTTCCTGGCCCCGTTCTTGCTGCAGGACTGTACTTGTGTTACGGAAGTGCTCCAGAGTCAATTCCTTCAAATTGGGAAGCCGCCCTAAGTCTCCGAGGTTCAAAGGACCGTAACCGTAGTTCAGGGATTCCAGCTGCTTGAGATGTAGCAGATTTGGGACCCCTGATGAAGACCAGATGAACAAGGTCTTTAAACTCCCTGGAAGTCTGGGTATCTCCGTTTGCCAGCCCTTCCATTGTTCTAGCTTCAAGATTTTGAGAGAGGACAAGTTTTCCATCTCGGCAGGCAACTCCCCCAATTGGGTCGCGTTCACATCGATCGACGCCAGTCGTTGAAGCTTTCCAATGCCACCACCACCTCGGGGGACAATATCAGTCGTGGAGGTATACTTGAGAAGCAGAGTTTTCAAATTCATGAAATTGCTGATATGCACCGGTCCTTTCATCTTCAAACAATTGTGGAAGCATATATGCTCGAGGCTTGTGCATGTCGACAAGTCGGGAGATTTTGTCAGCTTCTGGCAGTGCACTAAACTCAATACTTTTAGTTTTGATGCTGCCTGTTGTTTGTCATAGTTAGTTACTGCAAGTGGTAAAATTACATAAATAGAGAAGTTGATTTACCTTTATTCCGCTCCAGCCCTTCCAATCATACTTCACATCGCACATCTCCAAAATAAATGCAACCAATTTCTTCGTATTGACATTAGTTGGGATCGATCGACAGCTAGACAATTGAAGGCAACATATGTTCGGAAGAACCCGACTGAAATCACCCTTCATGCTTATACCCGCCACATCCAAACATCTTAACCCCGATAATTTCTTAAAAATTCTTGCTTTCAAGAAGTATATCATTATCATCTTCGAATCCCATATCTATCCAAACAACTTTCACCAGTTCACTTCCCTATACTTAGACGAACACAAAAAGAAACTAGTTATCACACTTAAACATATATATAAATATCATATGATACGGATGAAGAAGTCACCGAATTATTGACAAAAATATATTTACCTCACCTTTTCTTAACATGTCAAGGGTATCTTCAAACGACCATATCCTGCTACGTTTGTATGGATGCTCAACGTCTTCCTCTTTGACAATGGCTCTCCCAAGATCTCTGATGTGATCGTGCATCCAAAATCGATCTTCTTCATGTTGTCAAAAAAAAAAAAAAAAAAATCGATCTTCTTCATCGAATTTCATCAAAGATCTATCGATAAGAGTGGTGATCCCACTCTCTGGATAAAAACCACAGTCACTCCACAAGTAGTAAAGTACATCTTTGTAACTACCGATAAAAAAACAAGAAATGTCAAGAAAGATTTGCTTTTCGTCAGGCGACAAGTCATTGTAGCTGATCTTCAATCTCTTAAGCAGCGGATTTTCGCTAGTAGAAGCAATTTCCTGTAACTCTATCAATTTTTCTTCCCAAAAGCTCCTCTCTCTACGAAACAAAAATGACCCTATCACCTTGAGAGCTAGAGGAAGCCCAGTAGCAACTTTTACAAATTCCTCAGATATTCCCGCATCTTCTTCTGGAGGATCGTCCATCCCAAAAGCATGTTTGCTAAAAAGTTGTAAGGAAAAATAACGACTCATTTCTCTTGGTTCATACAATTTGCAATCTGGAATGAAATCTAATGCCCTACTATACCTTGTTGTAAATATAAATCTACTACTCGAGGAAAAATCACCCAACTTTCCTAGAATCCTGTCAAATTCAAACTTGTCATCTATATCGTCAACAATAAGAAGCAATTTGTGCTTGCAAACTCTATCTTTAATCAAGTTGATTCCTTCGCTAACACTTCTAACCTGAAAATTGACTTTCAAAACTGTAGATATGACCTTACTCTGTAGAGATACAACTCCATTGCTCTTTGCTAGAGCTTCTCGTGCATCATCGAGAAAACAACAACGATCGAATTGAGCACAAATCTTGTTATAGACGGCTTGAACTAGAGTGGTCTTACCCAGACCACCCATACCGTGAATGCCAACGATAACCTTCCCGGTGGATGATCCTAAATTCAGCAATTCCATCACTTCTTTCACGGGTGTATCAATCCCCACCAACTCGTCCGTCACCAATGTGTACATACTCCGCAGATGTGATTCAACTTTAGAAAGGACCTCGTCTACGACAGCGCCCTCCCTGCGCCATCAACAAACAATTTGTCAAGGGGTACCACAATAGACTAAGCAACAAAAATAAAATATGTCATGTGAAGTAGTAAGAGTTTGCACTCAAAACAAATCTAGCTAGTAAAGTAAACAAAAGACTTATCTGTATCTCTACTAATTACCCGTGGGATTCTGTAACATGCCATCCTTTCATTTTCCCGACTTTTAGAAGTGCTTCCTCCCATTCGTTCACGGTCTGCGGGGTATGTTTGGTTGTGTGCTCTTCAAAGGCTTGTTGATAAGGACCCTGTTGCTTTCTCACATCTCTTGGGTCAACAAAGTAGAATATGGGGAGGATGATGTGTCCCTTTCCTTGCTTCCAGCATTCCACCATTTGAGCCAGCTCTGTAAGGCACCATTTGCTGGAAGCATACCGCTCGCTTAAAATAGGGATGTAGATCTTCGATTCCGGGATGGCAAGGACAAGGGAAGACTCTATCGCTTCCCCCTTCTCGAGCTCTTCTTCGTCCCTGAACGTGCGAATCTTGGCACGTGCTAAGGAGGTGTAGAGATGATCGGCGAACCTCTTCCGTACGTCGGCCCCCCTGAAGCTCAAGAAAACCTCGTAGTCCCCTGTTGGAAGAGCTGCAGACAGCGGCGGGCCGGTAGAAGAAGAAGCAGTGGTGGTGGCGGAGGATTCCATTTCTGGCTGCGTCGATGGTTCAAAGTAGGAAGTCGGTCGCAACTGTTACGAAATGAAAAGTTCTGAATGTTTTTGAAGTAGCTACGAAGTAGCAAGAATTTGAATGGAAGTTTCGAAAAGTCTTTTCTTTCTCTCTCTCGTATTATTTCTTTATGATGATGAACCATACCCATTACCCCAACTTGCTTGTTGGTCAGATCTGGATTATTAGTTTATGTGTATGATTGCCTTGACATTTAGTTCTTGAGCATGAAAGAAATGTGTATTTATTTCTTTATGATGAATGAACCGTATTACCCACCTCTGAGCATGGTCTATGAAATCGTACAGAAAAAAAAATAAACGGTAGGATTTCATGGACCACGCCTCTGAGGTCACACTTTCTTTGAATATATGCAAATGTCGTCAGGAACTTTGAATAGGAATGGATTTTTTTTTGTATGAAATAACCAAATTTTAATTACCATCTTGGATAATTACGCAAAGTACAGCTAGCTGCTGATTGCTGTCTATTTTCTCGTCTTTGAATTTTCTTTCTTTCGGGTTCCAATCTTTCTTTGTCCATCGTCTCGATTGAAAAGGAAGAAAAATAAATACTCTAATTAATGGTAGAATTATTACATTAATAAATAAAGAGGGAGACCTCAAACCTCCTACAAGACTTTGGGGATATTATCAAGGGCAAATACAATATATTAGCCATAACTATTAAGCAGCGGGGAATTATAGCCACAACTATCGAAATACAAATTATTAGCCAATCGTTAAGTTTCCGTTAACACTTCTGTTAGTAATGATGACTAAGCTTTTACGATGGTGAGCTGGCTCCCACGTGGCAGTCATCATATCATATTTTTTACGATGCTGACATGGCCTTCTACGTTAAAAATTTGAAAACAGTAACGGGCTGTTAGCCAAATCTTGACCCACAACAATAGTTATGGCTAATAATTTGTATTTCGATAGTTGTGGCTATAATTCCCCGCTACTTAATAGTTATGGATAATATATTGTATTTACCCTATTATCAAGTTAGGTGATTTGAATAAATCGTAACCATTAAAATAAGTGAGATTAAATTTAGATCATTGATTAAGAAAAGAAGGAAAAAAACTAATAAATTTTGGTGACCGACACTCGACCGGTTTCTCCGATCTGGCGGATACCCTTCCTATTTTTAAAGGTTTATATCCCTTAAATTTAGGTTTGTTTTGGTTAAATTCTCATTTTTAAAAATCAATAACAAGTTTAAAAATCAAATATGTGATCAGTTCGTTCGTGAATGATTGTCTAGTAGGATATACAGAGACAATTTTTTTAGCAATGTAGACACCAAGTGCATTCTACAATTATTTCCGAATATGAAAACACATCGTGAATTTTTTTTAACTTCGTAAGAATAAGGTATTTTCTTATTTAAGAATTGTTTAATTTTTATTAATTATTAATTATCTAGTTTTTCTAAAAGAGGACACTCCTATGTAAAATTTCTGGGTCCGCCACATTGATAAGGTTTTGCACACCAGAATTTTGTACCGTATCCGCTCCCTTAAATTAGTAGTCACCGTCCTGATTTCACTCGCAAATCAATCTTTGGTTTTGTTGCGTGAATATTTACTAACTAGCTTATTACCCGGCCCGTTGGCCGGATTACTGTATGTTACCTACTTGTGGAATGGGAGAGAAAGCAAGTGAGAGTGAAGGGATTGGGATTCCACTTGATTAGGACCGACCCACTAATCCAATTCTTCCCGACCCGCACCAACCTACAGGGTCAGAAAGAGTCAATAAGAAAATACGAACGGGGAGGATTAGTCATATATCTTGACTCTTCAGAAGTGGGTCAAACAGGATCAAGGTTGGGTGAGGGCAATTTTTAGCGCTAAGCAGAGTTCTGGGTTGAATACCTTTACTTAGGCCTAGAAATTGGTGCTGATGCAGACTGCAGTTTTTATTATACCATCATCAATCATCATTGAATTAGTCCTGGGCATCCCTCCCCGTTGTCGGTCTGAATTCTAATGATGGCTTCATTCCTTGCACCAACCATATCAGCGAGTTGCCATCTCGAGCATGATTTGCCTATGTACAAATAATACAATTAGAGTATGAAAATGAATTCAATGAAAATGAAAAGAGAATTCTATCACATGCCAATAAATACACACATAATAGTTGAAGCTAAGTGAAAGTCATTACTCGCACATCAATTCTCAAAAATTACAGACTAAACATTGGCTAGAATGGCACTGAAACTACCAAGAATCATGGACGAAACAACTTGTCAAATTAAATAATCCTTATACTGAAACTACCTTCTAACTTGAAATAAGACATGATCACAGTTCATAGCTCTCTTCTCACTATGAATTGGTTGCAGCTCGTCCTTATCACTGTCTCTCAAGCTCAATTCAAACAGAATAGAGACCGTTATGTAAGATAACCATATTCTTACTGATCATAATTCCTTTCTTCTTTCCATTTTTGTCGGAGAAAAGAGTTATCCCCCTCTCCTGCATTTCCCTTCCCCCCTCTCTTCTCCCTCTTCTTCACAAACCGATCCCTAAACCAGCAACAACAACACAAAAATAGCCTTCGCCTCTCCCGTCTCCATCTATTGAACGCGTTGGTGGCAAGACAGGACTGCAGAAGCAAAATTTTCTAAAATCAAACTAAATTTTTTGAAGCAGACTCAACCACGAAAAAAGAGTAAAGCAACAATGCAGTAGAACCCTAAATTTAACTACAATCAAGCACATATCAGCAAGATTTTCGATTTGTCTGAGAGTTAACTACACGGAGAGAACAATTGATGCATAATTGAAATGCTCCAAGCAAGTTGAAGGCAAACCATAACTTTATAATTTGGTCATTATAATAACCTTCAAGTATTGATGCTTCTAAGAACTATCATGTCCAACCCCCACTTATACAACTACGTAGCCATAGTAATTAGTTGTATAATTAATGAGAAATATTACAAAGAAAACTACATAAACAACCAATGTAAGTAAATATTAAAACTAACAACTGATAAAACTTAAAATCTCTCTATTGGTATAAATGTATCTATTAGTAACTACTATGCAATCGAGTATATATGATTTTTAGGCACTGAATAAGAAAAGTATAGATGGCTCACAAATGAAGACGTAGCAACTGAAGGTAGCACACAAAAACCAAAAATAGAAAAAGAGATAAGAAAAAAGGCGAGAAAAAGTCAAACAAAGAAAAAGCCCACATAGGAATACCTCGCTAGCTTTAGGGACTCTCTGCCACAACAAACAACCTTCTTAAAAATCTAACACCCTGAGACATCAAACAAACCTCCCACGACACTAATGTATGGCATTCCTATTGTCCAATAGGTTTGCCCAATTTAGACTTCTAAATAAATGGACTTTTCACCATTAAACCAAAACTCACAATCATTAACAGTTAATGCAAAGACATACATTTCTGAGGCCAATCACAACATTTAAGCATAATTTTTAGTTGAAAAGAACAACTAAGTATTTAGCTAAATGATATAGTAGAATGGACACAATCTGCTACCTACTAATGATATAAACGTGTACTGGTACCATCGTTGTATCCTGACTTGCCATTTGCAATGGGCACTTTGAAAGACAGCTGCATTTTAGAGAATAAACACCCATAAGGGCGTTACGAAACCAAGTTTAATCCAAAATCTTCATATTCCACTTCGAAGACTCCATTTCAAAAATAAGAGAGTTTAACATGTCAAATCACTCATTTGAAAAATCTCAAACAACTATTAATCAATGCAATATAAAGGCACGTTCCAAATTATGTACTTGTAGGAATAATCCCAAATAATTATCAATTAATGCCCCAACTACCTAATGTGCAGAATAGCCCTGGAGCTGTGCTGTTGTTTGCGTTGGTCTACCTTCAAACATAACATAGTTGCATCACGAACCAAAGCAATTAAGCAAAAATCTTCATATTCCAAGTAGAATGACTCAATTCAATTTGGCCAACGCTTTATACATATTGTTTACCCCTGGACCTGTTGCACTTGCGCCTTCAGATCTTCGTGAACACAATACAATTGCGGAGAGGAGGCTGTCAACGGAATTAAAATTGTTAATTAAGTGAATCACCATACAACTAAACAAACGCGCTCTTCTTGATTAGCTATCAAAATAGTGGGGGTCGCTACAATCCACCGGTTGCTCCCTCTACGCCTAAGTTGTAGATATTAGGTTTCAGTGAGAACTTTGAGTACATGAGGAGATATTTTGTAGTGGATGAGATGACCCGTCGAGTAGAATAGGAAGATTTGGAGAGGCTGCGATGGGCAAAGCAGTTAAAATCGAGATTTTATCTAAAATCGAAAACTGGGGTAAAATCAAAATCGTATAATCGAATCGTAAAATCGTAGGATTTTAAGTACCATATAGAACATATCATATAAGAATATTAATAAGGTAAATTATTAATATCACAAAGACACATAGCATTTAAAATGATAATTCAGAAGATTTTTTTTCCATAAGATAATTCTCAAGATTAATGTTCCAAAATCACTATTTTAATTGTTATTTAATGTGTAACTCAAAATAATTCATGATGAAGAGATATAGTTCATGGGTTTGGCTCTTATTTTCATGTTATGTCTAGGTTGTTTAACTCAAAGTAATATTTCGACATCGTCTACTAAGTATGATTTAAAACTAAAAATAATTGAACTCCAATAAAATAAGTAATGTTAGTGGGTTGGTACAAATATATTCATTAATAAATTAATTAGTTAATAATGATGTTAGTTCTTACATACTTCCAATATTAGGACAGGTGTTTTACCAATAAGTTAAATGGGGTGAAAGGAAAGAGATTAACCGAACCCTAATTTGGTTATTTTTATTATTTTTGAATATTTTTCTAATAGAAAAATATATGAGAAGATTCCATTGCTCTTTCCGCTGAAACAGTTATACTTATTTTAAATTGGCTCAAACCACCTATTTTGTTCTCTTACGATCAAAATCCCGATTTCGATACTATTTTACGATTTTAATGATTTTAGTCCCGATTTTAAACGATTTTAAGGTCCACCGATTTTATAGTAAAATCAAGATCGGAATCCCTAAGTAAAATCCTAAAATCCTACGATTTTATGATCAAAATCCCGAATTTGACTGCATTGGCGATGGGTGCACGATTAGTGGGCCAAATAACAGTTTACGCCCGTTTAAATGAAAACATATTTTTACTTTCGTGCTCAACAGACCGACCGCACTGGCATCTTCTAAATTTACCCCTAAAAAATTGCTCTATACGCATCAAATTTGAAATGGAATCCCTCTTTTCTCATTTCACATTTATATGATGTGTAGATTGTGATGAGTGTAGATGTAGACCTGTCATTGTCCTACAAATTCATTAACACGCCAAAAAGTGGTGAAATGAGCCACCCTATTAAACACAATCTTGTATAATGATCATTGGATTCAATCATGCCAGATTATGAAGAAGTTTAAAATGTGTCTAAAACATAGTCTCATATAGTTTGCACAAAGATTAAATTTCTCCATAGTAATTCTGAAAAATAATATTAATTTAAGAAGTCGATATTGCTTCTACATGTTTAATATTGCAATTCGATATGCAATATTCGAACCAGTGATATTTGGGCTGCAATTTTAGGGTTATTGTATATTTATAAAATAGATAGAAATTTAAATTAAGTATTAAACTACAACTAAAATAATCAAAGTATTAAAACACCAAATAAGTACTTACGGGAGATTCAGTGGCCAACTAATCGTTAAAAAAGTCATATGATTTTCATAATTTAGGTTCGTGTATGTTTGAATTTAAATAGATACAACAAATATACTTAGTGTGATTGGTTATGATCCTTACTTGCCTTTAAAGAGACCAAGGTTCAAATCCCAGCACATGCCTTTTTTATGAATAAATAAATAAGAAAATAAGCAATTGTGAAGACCAAAATGTCCTTCCTATAATCACTCTCGTTGCAGGAAATTTGAAATGGAGCAACAGTTTTCATCATTCGGCTTTTATTTATTATCTAGATTAATTACTACTCAAATATGAAAGAACATAGGAGTCATTTTAGTTCAGTTCATCTTCATCAGGTGCCTGCATGTTTCATATAAACCGTGCATTAATTAAGCATATCATGTTACCAAAATTAATAGTAGAAGAAAGTTACATAAATCGCTACTTAGCTATTATTCATTGTTGGGAAACAAGGTATCAAAGTGGTTTCAGACCTGTGTAGGTTTGATTAGGAAAACAATGTATCAAAGAGGTTTCAACTAATAAAGAATCAACATCTAGAGATGGTTAAAGGGTGGATGGGACGAGATACGGTGACAACCCCTAAGGGGTTGTCAGATTCACAACCCACTTCATAGCCCTTGGATATGCTCTCTCTCCTGTCTCTTTTTTTTTTTTAAATTAACGGTTAAGATTAAAGGAAGGATATTTTTGGAAGGGTAAAAATTTACCACACCCAATCATTCACCCTACCATATAAAAAGAACAAAAACCATAACTCCTCCATCCTGCCTCTCTCTCTCCTCCCTCTCTCCCGTAGACATCACCGTCTCTCCTCCCCCTCTCTGCCGCCACAACCCTCCCACCACCGCAGCTCCCTCTTCCTCTCCCATGCCCACCGGCACCCCTGACCTCCGCTGGCCGATAACTCCATCTCCAAGCTCTTCCCTACTGTAATCTTCCTCTGTTTTCTTCAATTCCCCCGTTTCTCATTCCACTTTTGTTATGAATGGTTAATTTAACTTCCAATTGCATTTGATTCGGTTTGGTTTGCAGTACAATGGTTGTGCGTGGAAGGGCGGCAAGCTGCAGCTGGAGAAGGCCAAAGAGGATTACCTTGCTCGGATGAAGAAGGAATGGGCTGAAGATGCTGCTAAGCTTGAGGCTCTATCTTCTAACGATGACAAGAAAGTGGAGCCTCCTCCACTGCCGACTAAGGAGGACCTACATGATGAGAAGATGAGCTTTTTCTTTCCCAGATTAGGAAAGGTGCTGAGTTTCTCGTTTCGTAAGGATTTCGACTTTCTATTGGTACCAATACCACTGGTAGCGCTATTGGTACGCTACCACTACTCACTGGTACCAATACCAATGGCTCCCCTATCATCTAGTACCACTATTATCTGTTTTTTTGTGTGTTATTCTCTACTGGTACCGCTACCAATGCTAGTGGTAGCACTACCAGTGCTAGTAGCGTTGTGTTATTCTCTACTGGTAGCGTTGTACTGATAACGTACCACTAGTACTGGTACATTTTTTACTGGTACTGTTAGTACTGGTACATTTTTTAACGTACTGGTAGCGTACCACTAGCACTGGTATATTAATTACCAGTAAACTAATAGATTGGTATACTTTTTAACGCATTGGTACATTTTTTCAGATTGCCGGAGGGAATTCGCCGGAGAAAAAGTTTGTCGGTCGATGCGGAGTGGCCGCTGGAGAAAGGAAGAGAGAGAGATAGATAGAGATATTAATGTATAGGATTTAAATTAAAAAAAAATTGTATTTAATATGAGTTTTTAATTCCCAATATAATTAATACAAAAGAGGTAATTAATATATTTCTTTTTTTCATACCCAAAATACCCTTGGTTGTGAATCTGACAACCCCCTTAGGGGTTGTCACCGTATCCCGTCCCAGGGTGGATCAGTCGGGAGTACAGAGAGCCGGGGTCGGATACTATGCTAACCCCTAAAGGGGTAGTGGTTTTTGACACCCTCCTCTTGATTGGTCACTTTTCCATTTAAACTTTTTACTTTATTTATTGTAATCTTGTAAATTGGGAAAGCCTTAATTGTGATAATAATTATGAATGGGGAAGGAGTAAAACGTTGGTAATTATGAATGGGGAAGGATCTGGGGAAAAACGAAATCACCCCCATTAATTACATAATTAATTTCTCTCACTGGTACATTAATTACACGTACCACTCCACTGGTACACGTACCACTCCACTGGTACACGTACCACTCCACTGGTACCAGTGGAGTGGTACGTGTAACCATATGTCCTGTTTAGGCTTAAAAAATTGTGAAGACTTTATGTTTATTCACATTCGAATGATAATTTATTGCTTTTGGCATTGTTGTTGGCATTTCCCTAATTTTGCAACCCATTTTGGAACACAGTTTTTGGCTACTAATGGAAAGTTCCTATTTTTTCCCTATTATTGTTTATCATTGTTATGAAAAATATCATTGCACTGGTATTGTTCTCACTCTAACCTACCTTGTGGATTGCTCGCACCAGTGGAGTGGTACATGTACCATTGGAGTGGTACGTGTACCAGTGGAGTGGTACGTGTACCAGTGGAGTGGTATGTGTACCAGTGGAGTGATACGTGTAATTAATGTACCAGTGAGAGAAATTAATTATGTAATTAATGGGGGTGATTTCGTTTTTCCCCAGATTCTTTCTCTTTTCCAATGTGGTGAGAGACCCCAAATTACAAGATTAAAAAAATAAAAAATCAGTTTAATTAATACTTGCCAATGATTGGAAATAAAATTGGCCAATCATAAAGGGGGTGTCAAAAATCACTACCCCTTTAGGGGTAGTCACGCTAACTGATCCCCAGAGAGCCTTGTTGAGATGGTTAAAAGGTGGCCATCGTCAACTCAGACTGTGTGGCGTGAATAGTTTAAACGATGTATTCTAGTCTATTGTCGGTAATTGTGGAAAGAACGTAATAAGCGTTACTTTTATGGATCAGTATAGTTTATAGCAGGTTGTTACCCCAATATTAGATTTCAGGTTTTTCACTGGGTATCTAGTGCTGGGGTGATTAACAAGCAACAGGTTGAAGATTGATTGACTTCTCTGCATAGAATAGTTTATTTAATGCACCACTTCTGAATTTTTTAACATTCCCATTCTCAATGACCATAAATTTTTCTTAATTTAAATATGGGATTCTTGTTTAGATGACCCGTACATACTACAACGATAACAACTCGTTTAATTCAACAACTTGTTCTCAAGAGATTCAAATATGAATAACTTTTGAAAAAAATAAGAAAATACCATTTACCTTGTAAATAATTCCATACTTGAGAGGAAATTGAATATGTATGAGAGTTTTTGTGCTGCAACGCCAGATTCGGGCTCACGCATAAGAGGCCCAGTATTGCAAGCCCAGGAGGTAACCGATTTCAAGAGTCAAGCCCACCAAAGAAGTATTGTCAACGTCAACGCCAACTAAAGTTGCCGCAGCTGGTCAATGTTCTTCGCGGCAACTTCTTGCTCCCTTCTTCCATTCACACTTCTCGTCATCATCCCAGAGTCCAACCCAAGCGGCCGCACAATGATAAACCGGAGCTAAGCTCCTGATCCCAGTCCCTACATCATCTTCTTCAATCGAATTGGCTCCTCCAACTGCCGGTATGTCTGTCTATTACCCTGTCTAGCGAATCAAAACTTTTTTTTTTCCTAATTTTTTTTGCGGCGGTCTCTCATATCAATCGCGATTGCTTACTTTGAATCATCGAACCATCCATGGACAGCAGGATAAATGGAGTCCTCCGCCGCTGCTTCTTCTTCTTCCACGCCGCCGCCGCCTGTTGTTCTTCCTACAGGGAATTACGAGGTCTTCATCAGCTTCAGGGGTCCCGACGTTCGCAACAGGTTTGCCGATCATCTCTACACCTCCTTAGCGCGTGCCAAGATCCGCACGTTCAGGGACGAAGAAGAGCTCGAGAAGGGGGAAGAGATCGCGCCTTCCCTAGTCCGCTCCATCCCGGAATCGAAGATCTACATCCCGATTTTAACCGAGCGGTATGCTTCCAGCAAATGGTGCCTTCTTGAACTGGCTCAAATGGTGGAGTGCTGGAAGCAGGGGAAGGGACACATCATCCTCCCCATCTTCTACTTTGTTGACCCCAGAGATGTGCGCCATCAGCAGGGTCCTTACCAGCAAGCCTTTGAACAGCACGCTCACAAACACAGCCCGCAGATTGTGAAGGAATGGAAGGAAGCACTTCGAGAGGTCGGACAAATGAAAGGATGGCACGTCACTGGATCCCTCGGGTAATTAGTATTTGGATCTCTCTGTTACAAATTCTTTCCCTACTTTGTTGTGTATCTTTACAAATCCTCTTTTGATGATGCCCACAGCGAGGGAGCTATTGTAGACGAGGTCCTCTCTAAAGTTGAGTCGCATTTGAGGAGTATGTATACATTAGTGACCGACGAGTTGGTGGGGATCGATACTCTCGTGGGAGAAGTGACGGCACTGTTGAATTTAGGATCATCTAACGAGAAAGGTATCGTTGGCATTCACGGTATGGGTGGTCTAGGTAAAACTACTTTATCTAAAGCTGTCTATAACTGTTGTGAAGCATGTACGTGTGCATGAGTGTAGAACACGTACTGCTTGTCCTTCTTTGTTCAGTTTGTTTACTTGGTGAGTTGTTTAGTTATTTCCCATTCCTTGTGGCCGGTTGTAAAAGGAATTGGTGACCTATATAAGGCTGTGTTATCAGCCGAGTAGGGTATGCAGCTGTATGTGAAAAACCCTAATAACATATCAGTCGAAGACTCCTTGAGAGGGTCTTCCGTGGATTAGTCTCGTTCGTTGGAACGAGGATACCACGTAAATCGTCGTGTCTTGTGCATCGTACTTCTTACTTTTCTCATGGTATCAGAGCGGTGATCGGTCTATTCCGCGTTTTCGTTGGGCATCATGAGTTCCGATGATGAGCAGAAGAAATCCGGTGATGAGAAGATGAAATCATCAGAAACATCGTACTCGACATCGGGCACCGTCGGGGGCAGCGGAGATGTCTATCCTCCTGCATATGTTCTCCATAATTCGGATAGCCCTAATCAACTGTTTGTGGGCGAGCTTCTTACTGACGTGAATTACGGTGAGTGGCTCGGTGACATAACTGATTCCTTTATTGCCAAGAATAAGCTTGGCTTTGTTGACGGCTCCATCTCTAAGCCTGCTGCCGGCGTTCTCCTCGATCAATGGAGGAGGTGTGATGCGATGGTAAAGGGATGGTTGAAGACAGCTATGAGCAAGGAGCTCCGTACCAGCGTTCGTTTTGCTCGAACTGCTCGCGAGATTTGGCTTGACCTTGAAGGTCGGTTTGGAACCGGCAGCGCGCCGCGGTTGTATGAATTGCGTCGCAATATTGCTCTGCTCCAGCAGGAGAAAGCTAGTGTCTCGAGCTTCTACACTAAGTTACGAGGCTTTTGGGACGAGATCCAATCAATTTCCCCGGTTCCTGAATGCCATTGCGGTGGTTGCACTTGTGACGTCAAATGGCAATATCGTGAGACGAAGAACAGCGAACAACTTTTTGATTTCTTAATGGGTCTTGACGAGGCATTCTCTACCGTCAAAACTCAGATTTTAGCCATGCGCCCCATGCCCAGCCTTGCCGAAGCATATCACTTGGTGAATAATGATGAACAACAACGCAAAATTGCTAGCTCTCGGCGCCCGACTATTGAGGCGGCTGCTTTTCACGTCCAAGATGATCGGACGTCTCAACGAGGGTCCTCGGCAGGTCGTTCTAGCGATCCCTCTCGACCCCGTTTTGTTTGTGATCACTGCGGGAAAGGCGGTCATACTAAAGATCGTTGCTATGAACTAATCGGATACCCGGATCGTGGCTCACGAAAAGGGGACAAGGACCGAGATGGGCGACGCAAAGGTGCTGATCGAGGCAAAGGAGGCCCAGGACCACGGGCTGCTCAAGTTGAAATCAGCGACAGCCCCATTCCCGGTTTAAGTGCTTCGCAATTTGATACTCTAAAGACTCTCTTTGGAGGCGAGCTACGATCCTCGTCCAACTCCGATCACAAAGCAACAGGTAACTCCGCTCTTTCTTCCCTGCGTGGTGATGACTGGTTAATTGATACAGGATGCAATGAACATATCGTACGGGATCCCAAGCTGGTTACGAGAAATCGGGAGAGTTCCGACTTGCAGGTTAGGGTCCCGGATGGTTCTGTGATTGGGGTTGAGGCCGTTGGGTCAGTACAGTTGTCTAATGGGATGGTTCTCCCGCGTGTTCTTCTGGTTCCAGAGTTTAAATGCAACTTACTATCTGTTAGTCAGCTCACTCGGGATTTTTCTTTGGCCTTGATCTTCTTGAGCGACTTCTGTGTCATACAGGACTTACGCTCGAAGACGATTATTGGGACGGGTCTCCAGAGTGATGGACTCTATTATCTTCGACTTTACGACGAGGTTTGCAAAGAGATGGCTTGTGCGGCGCGTCGAGAGATCTCTCCGGTTCTCTGGCATTCTCGCTTGGGGCATCCGTCACCCGAGAAACTTGATTTGTTGCATTTATCTTCTGGTAGTCATAAACAGAATAAGACACTTTGCTCCTCTTGTTTACGAGCAAAGCAATCACGTTTGGTTTTTCCGACTGGTTCTATTCGTAGCTCTCGGCCTTTCGAGCTTGTTCATGTTGATATTTGGGGGGGCTATCAAGTCCCATCTTTGACTGGTGCTCAATATTTTCTTACCGTGGTTGATGACTTTACTCGTGGTGTTTGGATTTATCTTCTTAAGTTTAAATCTGATGCGGCTAAGTACTTGAAACTCTTTGTTCGGCAAGCTTCTCGCCAGTTTCAGTCCGCCGTACAGGTTATTCAGACAGATAATGGCACGGAATTTCAATCCCGTGAGATGCTTGATTTTTATCTTGACGAGGGCATTCGCCTTCAGACTTCCTGTACTGACACCCCCCAGCAAAACGGCATTGTCGAACGTAAGCATCGACATATTTTGGACACAGCTCGCGCTTTGCGATTCCATGCGAATCTGCCTAAGCGTTTTTGGGGATAGTGTGTTCTTACTGCTGGCTACTTGATCAACCGTCTTCCTCACAGCAGCTTAGGGAACCAGACACCGTATGAACGTCTTTTTGGTCGTCCACCCCATTATACCCATCTACGCACTTTTGGTTGTTTGGTTTTTGCAAAGGATACCCATGCTCACTTGGACAAGTTTGGCGAAAGGGGGCGCCCTTGTGTATTTCTTGGTTATCCTCCGTCTCAGAAGGGGTATCGGGTGTTCGAGCTCTCTACCAAGAAGCTTTTCACTTCTCGTGATGTGATATTTGACGAGACTATCTTCCCATTTCATTCACTTTCCAGCGACATTCAGCCATTCGTTGGCCCCGGTTCCCTCGCGAGTCCTTCCTCGCCAGTACCTGATGACGATGAGGACCCGCCTACAGCTGCTGATGCTAGTTCTCCTGCAGGTGGTGATCCTCCCACTTCGCCCCTGCAACCGGCTTCCCCAGCCGCTTCTACTCCTCCTGGCGACTTGACAAGCTCCGCCGGTTCACCAACTTCGGCGGACCCCACTTCTTCGCCTTCTCCTGCGATCGTGGTTCCCCCAGCAGCTCCCGCCGATGTTCCTCTCCGCCGTAGTGAGCGGGCTCGCCAGCCTTCAGTTCGCCTTCGAGGTTATGACTCTTACCTTCCCTCAATTCACACGGCTACTACTGCTAAGTATCCGTTATCTGCTTATGTTACCTTCACTAGACTTTCGGCTAATCATAAGGTTTTTGTGGCAGCTATTGATACTCTGGTTGAGCCACAATTTTTTCATGATGCCGTCAAGTATGCTTGCTGGCGCGAGGCCATGCAACGTGAGATCGACTCCTTGGAAGCTAATGGCACTTGGGTGCTCGAGGACCTACCTCCTAACAAGAAAGCCATTGCTGCCAAGTGGGTGTACAAGATCAAGTTTCATCCTGATGGCACCGTTGAGCGCTACAAAGCTCGTCTCGTTGCAAAGGGGTTTACTCAAGTCGAAGGTGTTGACTATCACGACACTTTCGCTCCGGTGGCCAAGTTGGTGACCGTTCGCTGTGTGCTTGCTGTTGCAGCTCATCGTGGTTGGCATCTCCATCAGTTAGATGTCAACAACGCTTTCCTACATGGTGATCTTCATGAAGAAGTCTACATGCAGCTTCCACCGGGATTTGCTCGACCGGGGGACAACCGGGTTTGTCGTCTTCGCAAATCCATATACGGTTTGAAGCAAGCCTCTCGGAATTGGTACATGAAATTCACTACTTCTCTTCAGCAATTTGGTTTTCAGCAGTCTAAGGCTGATCATTCCCTGTTTACATATCGCCATGGTAGCGCATTTGTGTTTGCTTTGATCTACGTGGATGATATCATCTTAGGTGGAGATGACATTACTATCATTCAACGTGTCAAAGACTTTCTGCATCGCCAGTTTAGCATCAAGGATTTAGGTGTTCTTAAATACTTTTTGGGAATTGAGGTGGCGCGTTCCCGTCGTGGGCTGGTCTTGTCCCAAAGGAAGTATACGTTGGATATATTGAAGGATGCAGGTGCTCTTGCAGCTAAACCTTGTCCTTCTTTGTTCAGTTTGTTTACTTGGTGAGTTGTTTAGTTATTTCCCATTCCTTGTGGCCGGTTGTAAAAGGAATTGGTGACCTATATAAGGCTGTGTTATCAGCCGAGTAGGGTATGCAGCTGTATGTGAAAAACCCTAATAACATATCAGTCGAAGACTCCTTGAGAGGGTCTTCCGTGGATTAGTCTCGTTCGTTGGAACGAGGATACCACGTAAATCGTCGTGTCTTGTGCATCGTACTTCTTACTTTTCTCATCGGTCAAAGGTAGTTTTACAGTTGAAGCCTTTGCTGATGCCGACTATGCAGGTGTCGTGATACTCGGAAATCGACTTCAGGATGGTGCATCAGGGTTGGACAGTCTTTTGTTTCTTGGCGGTGTAGAAAACAGGATAAAGTATCCAAGTCATCTACGGAAGCCGAGTACAGGTCAATGTCCGAAGCTGGTTCTGAGCTGGTCTGGATACAGCGTGTTCTTTCAGAGATAGGCGTTAATTGTTGCATGCCTATGAGATTATATGGGGATAATACAAGTGCCATACAGATTGCTATCAATCCAGTTCTGCATGAGCGTACTAAGCATATTGAAGTGCATATTCATTACATCCGACAGTTAGTTGCAGAAGGGTTGATTCGTCTAAGCTACTTGACTACAGAAGATCAGACAGCAGACTTACTTACTAAGGCTGTAGCATCTAGTAGGCACTGGTATCTCTCTTCCAAATTGATGTTGCGCACCCAACATCAATTTGAGGGAGGGTGTTGATTTAGGAGACCATCTTGTGCTAGGACTCCTCTCTAGCCTAGCCGTACTCTACATGGATACGGTTTACGTAAGGTTATAGTCCTATATATTGTAATAAGCTGTACACCAGAACTTAAGAAAGCTCATAATATTAAAACCTGAGAGGGAGATCCTCTCCGTGGACTAGTGTCTAATTGACGATACCACGTTAAAAAACTCATTGTCTCCTTTATTTTTCTGCTATTCGTTTTGTTA